TTTAAGAAGTTTCCAGAGATAGAAGATTCCATGACAGTCCAACATTCATAAGTCATGCAGTCATACTAAATTAATTATAATAAAATTTTGTAATACCAGGTATGTTTAATATTTTATATGGAATAACAGATTCATTTTCAGTAGAGTGTATTTTGATTTCAGCTATGTTTACTCAAAATAAATTGCAGGACCATTATTTATTAGGAGTCCCAGTTTGTTACTTACACTATTCACAAGTGTGCATGAACATTTATTTGTAGAAATGATTTTGGGAAGGGTAGTAGTACAGACATTTAATGTGCAAACACCCCCTCTTCCCTGCTGCTTTCATCTTCCTGAGACCAGGTGATCCTGCTTTGCGTAAAGTGTGGGCTGCTCTCGTCCTTCCATTCCTAGAAGGATTGGAGCAGTGAGGCAAAGCTCTCTGCCTGCCTCTCACTTGGGAGAGAGAAGCAGGCAGGGGGCTTGCCCCTCTGGGAATTCTGGAGTGAGAGGCAGGCAGGAGCTAATTCTACTCTCTGCACTTAGCTCCCATTGACCATGAGCAGAATGCACAGGGTAGTGAGGCAAAACACCATTCCCAATTCTCACGCTGGGGACCCTGGTGTGTTTGGAACAGAGAGAGAAGCTGGTGGCTGCTCCTCCCTTCTCCTTCTAGGAGTGAGAACAGTTCTCCCCCATGACTTCTCCAGACCAGGGTGACCCTGGTCTTTGGAGGGCACAGGATTCTTCCCCTGTGGCTCTACTCCTCTTGGTCCCCAGGAGTTAAGCAGCAGGAAAATGTGCAGACATTGGTTTTCTCAGGAGAAAAACTCTGCTGTGAATGACTATCTGTCTACAGTCAGGTTATTTTTTCTCTTGGAAAGGCCATTTTTGTTCTGGGAGAAAAAGCTGGAATGTATGCTGGTGGTTTCTACCAGGAGAGTGGCAAATCTCCCAGTAAAAATAGAATGTCTGTATATAGCCACTGCTACCAATTCAGAGATTAAGCTCTCCCCATTAAAAGCATATTGCCACAATGTACAAGGAGGTGACCTAATTTTACACCTGCTAGATTAAGTCAAGGAAAGAGCTTGAGGCTAGAGTCCACTGGCATGCTTAGTAATACCCTGGTGGCAACAATATAAAGAAAATGACTGACTGGAGAAACCTCAGTAATTTTACTAGAGTGAACAGAACATGACTATTAGGAAGCTTTACATGCAGTGAAGCTTTATTATTTTGAAAACAGCAAAAGGAATCTATAAAGCTTTAACATACTTTAAGACATTGCCAAAACTTCAGCTATATAGATGGACAAGTGCCCATTTGCTTCTTTTCTATCTTACATTTTTAGGCATAATTCTATAGCAGGAGAATACACATTAATAAGGTATATGTTAACACCTGAAGTACAGAATAACGATGAAAGGTTAAATTCATTTATTGGTTATGGAGGTATGAGAAACTAGTTGAGCAAAACCAGACTTTTGACAATTTAGAGTTTAAAAAAAGTAGGAGGAGTGAGTAACAGTACAGAAGCCAAAGGAAAATCAATACAGAGAAGTGATTTCTATCAATTCATCTTCATTCAATCTTAATATTTAAAATCAGGGTCTATATCTTTGGCTAAGTCTTCCTGTGACGATATCCTATGAATATTCTGACATTTTGTATATGCTGCAATGTTTCAAGTTACTTTTTTAATACCCAAGAGGCCACAGACAAACCAAACAGAAGTACTCTGTATTGGTAATAGCCTTCTTCAACACATTACAGGTATTTTTGATGTACAGCTCTCATGAAGTTTCAAAAATAAGCACCCTAGGTGCTTGCAGACATAACGCCTCCCATCCCCCCAAATAGCACTTTACCTTAAACTGCGTGCATTCCCGCGCCAAGCCTCACACATGCTCA